TTTCAAATGTTGAGGTGCACGACCCAACGCGTAACGGGCCACTCCTACGTTGGGACAGGCCGGCCGAAGCAACCGACCACAAATCGTGGGCCCTCTGGACAGCCCACAGTTCTCGTTCCTGTCTTATCTTTTCGCAGACATTGTTTTGCACCCACACCTCGGGATCGACTCAATACTTTTGTTGAGATTGTGTTTTTCTGGCTGTCGCCTTGCAATTTTGTTTCTTTACGTTTTTTGAATTTGGCACCTATGTCCTCTTTTGTTAAAGTAGGGCTAAAGTAGTCGCTCTTCTATTCATTTAGCCTCGGCTGCGGGATCCAATCTTCGTCGGCACTGCCGCTCTCAGTCGAGCGCGCGCGATCGTTGTCGGTGATTCTCGTCAGTGGCGTCCACAATAATAACGGTTGCAGTTGAGCATCACCAAACCATTATATGATTATAAGAAACACCGTAGTAAAGAAAAATGGAGATTTCGAACACCTAGGGTTCTTTAACGTGTGCTTAACATGGAACGGCGTCCATGGCTGCAAAAGGCAAGTGCGCAGACCTTCCGACGCTATTGCCCGTGGCGCAGTTCGCGCGTTCATGCAGTGGCAGCAGTGGACCACACAGTCAATCAACGCTGTACACACGACAGGAACGCCGGTCAGCCCGGCAGCAGCCACGGCGCCATTTTGCGGAAAAGCTCGGTGGCTGTATTGCCTGAAACTTCGTGACCAAGACGCCGTCCGCATTCAGTCTATATAAGTGCATTGCATTTAAAATGCGCCAAGAAGTTTCTCAAATTAATATTTCAACCATTTAGGGATGCGGGACATATTAGCGAAGTTGATCTATTCATGAAATAACGCACTTACGAAAGAGGAGTTTTGAGACTCGGCCTAGTTTTACGTGCATGCGAAAGCCACCACTATATTATGAGACACGCCGTAGAGTGATAAACAACAAAGCAGCTTTTTTACCCCTTAGGCGCTTAACATGCACCGAAACATATATAGGTACACTGGCGTAAAAATATATGTACATTGCGGCACCATAAATAAATAAAGTGAGCTTGCCGCGGTTGGGATTCCATCCCTCTAGCATATATAACATCTGTTCACCGTTGAAACCATCACTTCTGTTGCACTATTGCTGTATGTTGCTAGTGCATCTCTAAAACTCACAGGGTCCTTTATGCATTCGCTAATAAGATGACTCAGACGAAAGCCTTCATCTTCTCTCAGTCATGTGTGAGTATCATTTTCGCCCCTGCGCACATATACCACTATGCATGTATGCGACGGTCATCCGCTGTACTGGAAGCGAGGTGACAAGTATGCGAGCGGGTCAGTGCTGAACTGCCATTTTCTGTTCTTCTTCATTATAAGATTCCATGGAATTGATAAATATGTAAAAACAAGATAATAAAAATTACGTTGTACTATATAGCAAGCTATAGCTAGGCGCTGCTCGCCCTTGACGGAAGGTTATTTGTAGCCGGACATATTGCGTGGCCTGAAGCAAGAAGTTCTTAAACAACTCATTTCTTCACCTCCATTCGCCACATAACAAGTTTTGAAACGCGTAAACATCTGGTATGTGTTGCAGCTTTCAACAGCCTTACGTCCTGCCAGAGCTTATATTTCGCTTTGTTACATTTCCTAAATATAATACATTGGCGTTGCATACAGGTATATATGGACATTTTCTTGTTTCATCACAGTGCTAACTATAGACTGATCGATCGAGCGCCCATGGCCCCTACACGTGTATATTCATTTTAGTTAATTTCAATAAGCTTCACACGCGGCTACATCTATAATGTGCACCATCAACACAGTTGGGGCCTTGAAATATCTCTGAATACGCACATATGTACTTGTTAACGTGCAAGGGCTGTAATTCTACCGCAGTGGCACAGTGGTTACACAGTGCTTGGCTGCTGACCCGAAATTTTGATCCCGGCCAAGGCGGCCGCATTTGGATGGAGGTGCGATGTTCGTGCACGTTGAAGAAGCACACGTCGTCGATCCTGCATCCTGCGCACTCCACTAGGGCGTCTCTCATAGGTCGAGTCGCTTTAGAACGTTAAATTTTTCAAAGCAATCTGAACCTCAATAAGGTATGCATGCCTGCCAGCCGCAGGTAACAAATCGCACAAAGATAAAGCCGGTGATATCCGCAAGGAGGAATGCAATCTTAGACGTTTTCAGACTGCAGCTCCCTCAGACTTCTGCGATCCCCATTATTCACTGTAGCGGTGGTCATGTGAGAGGGCTGCAGCCGCCACTGGGCCCCTGTTGGAGAGAAAGGTATACCTTAACCTGCAGTGCTCGGCGTACTTATATATCTCCAAAATGTGACCTCTCCTTTCAACCTTTACGTTTCACTCCTATACTCTCATATCGGCCTACCTCCGGAATAATGCGCCGTGCTCTAAGCGTGTTGCCAAACATCAAAGCACCATCATCAACATTATATATCCTCGATATTTTCATCACTATACAGCTCAACTACTTGAACATTTGGCCCCGCCACGGTGGTCTAGTGGCTAAGGTACTAGGCTGCTGACCCACAGGTCGTGGGTTCGTATCTCGGCTGCGGCAGCTGCATTTCCGATGGAGGCGGTTACAGGCCCGTGTCCTCAGATTTGGGTGCACGTAAAGCAAATTGAAATTTCCGGAGTTCTCCACTACGGCGTCTCTCATAATCATATAGTGGTTTTGGGACGTTAAACCCAACATATCAATCAATTACTTGAACATTTGAGCCTTAAAAGTGTCCCTTGCGTTTTATCTTCACTGTGCAGATGATCAAGATGATGATCACGGTGGTGACGGTCTTCATGCTCAGTTGGCTGCCCCTGAACACCTACATCTTGCTGTCGGATTTGGACCCGGGCGTGAACAACTACGAACACATCCGCTACGTCTACTTCATCATCCACTGGTTGGCCATGAGCCACGCTTCGTACAACCCTCTCATCTACTGTTGGATGAATGCGAAGTTCCGCGACGGTTTCTGCCAGCTGTTCCGGCGCTCTAAGCTCTGCTGGCCCGCCCGGCTGCGCCACCAGCGCCCGCTGCGCAAGGAGTCCGCCGCCGAGGTGGCCGCCCTGCGCCGCTGCAATACGTACACCACGTACGTGAGCGTGCGCGCCGTGCCGGGATCCAGCTATCGCTTCACCAAGGACGCCGCGCAAACAAACGGCAAGCCCAAGCGCTACGAGGACTCCAGGGTTTAGTCAAATCGCTCTACAGGGCTCGGAGAGAGCCACCGCAAAGCCAATATTGCCGGTGTTTGGTCAGTGTCTCTAAGGAGTGTCTCGTAGCAGTTACTGGTGCTGACGTTTTTCGAAGAGTTCACTTCGCCGACTCTCTTTTTTACAGCTTTGAGTCATGCCTGGACCTTCCTTAAGAAAACAATCGCAGATGGTGGCTGCATAAGCCATTGCGACGTATGTGCTTAGAGTGTGCGAGGTAGTGCACAACTCTTGTGACTGTAAAGACGCACGAACTTCTGTGTTTCTAAAGGCTGGTGCATGGTGCGTCTCATTGGTTCCGTGCTCCTGAAGATACGCGTAGTGGTGTCGAGGTCTTTTGTTGAGATGTGTCAAATATTCATTGGGACACCGTTAACATGATGCGAGCGACGAAAACATACGCTGCCACAGCTCGGTCATGTCGTCATGAAATAAGCCTCTGGTGAGCGTAGTTGTAAACAGCACTTATGTACTTTTGTTGGCTATCACGCTGTTGTGGCTGAACATGAACGATGTGGCCAGCAGGACAGAAAGATACATATGGGTTAACAATAATATATTCTTCAATAGCTTTTATGCGTGACTAACCGCAAAATAATGTCGCTGATTCGCCGCTGATGTAATACGAATCTGTCGGAGATGTATTACACTGATATCCAACGTGGTCGCGAGGACATGCAGCACGTAGGACATCAGAGTGGCCTAACGATGCCTGTGAGTATTGGGCACGTCCGTTTGTAGTCGAATAACTTTCTCGATTTAAGCAAGCAGTTAGGCTTCTGTAAAACTAAAAAAAATGTCTAAAGTTTGACGTGCCAAATCATGCTATGATTATAAGGAGCGATGAGTTGTAAGGGGCCGGATTATTCAAACATGCTGGTTCTCTATCAAAACGTCGGAAATTGAAAGGGTGAAGTATGTAAAGGTCATACGTCAAAACGCCGAAAAATAGAAATACCGAAATGCTGAAATGCCTAAAAAATGAAATGTCAAAAAAAAAAGAAATACCGAATAGATATAACACCGACAACCAGTTGAGCCATGCCGAAAACCATGTGAAATTTCCTCTATTCTGAAGAAAATTGACGAAGACGCAGTGTGGTGTGCTCCGAGAAGGGAAAAGCTTACACCTTATCTGCAGAGATGGTTATGTTTATGCATTTCACGAGAAAGTAGGTTCTATGCACTATTGGTGGTGTGAAAAACGAAGGGAACACAACACCAGAGTGATATCACTAACTTTCCTGTAGAATACTGCCATAGTAATATCGAAGACAGTGATCCACACAATTGATGTTCTTTCAGATCCTCACCTCCTCGAAAACGGAGCAAACTATCGAAGACAATGTCGAGGGAGCGATTAGAGACCAACCCCGCCGCTCACGGGGCAAGAGCAGGGGTTGTGCGGAAATAGTTTGGCAGCTGCTATGGGCCACCGGTATGATGTAGATGCCTAAGCTTTCTACAAGGAATTGGACACAACTTTTTTGTGTTACATGCCAAAGAAAGAGTCACCCTGCGACGGCTTCACGACTTATGCAGATATATATATATATACATATATATATATATATATATATAAATATATATATATATATATATATATATATATATATATATATATATATATATATATATATATATATATATATAGGGAGAGAGAGAGAGAAGTGTATTCCTAAGGGCTCGTTATTGCGTGTTTGACACAATATTGTTGAGATTAAACAGACAATAATGCCAAAGAATGTATAGGGGAAGTTATTATACCAAACTGCAATGTGAATGTGAAGAAGGAAAAGTGGGTGAAAAGATAACTTGCCATGGGCAGGAACCGAACCTGCGACCTTCAGCTAACGCGTTCGATGTTTCACCACTAAGCTACCACGGCGGCTATCCTCCGTCCACTTTATTGGGTTTATATGTGAATTTAACGTGAGAGTGTCAGTCAGCGCCACCAGTAGCCATGGCGGCGAGTGTGGCACACTCTTTTTAAGCCTATTGGGCGTAACGTAGCGCGTGAACTTATTACGAGCTGGCAGCTGACCAGCAGTCCCTTTTAAACAAACTAAAGGTACCAAGTATGCCAGTACGAGACCCTCGTTAATGAATTAGGGAAAGAAGTGTATACTTAAGGGCTAGTTATTGCGTGTTTGACACAATAGTAATAAGATCTAACAGACAATAAGGCCAAGGAAAGTATACAGGGGAAGTTATTAGACCGAATTGTAACGGTAATGTGAAGAAGGAAAAGTGGATGAAAGCATAACTTGCCGTGGGCGGGATACAAACCAGTGACGTTCGAATAACGCGCTCGAGGCTCTACCAACTGAGCTACCACGTCGGTTATCCCTCCATTCACTTTTTTGGGCATATATGTGAATTAAACGTAATAGTGTCAGTCAGTGTCACCAGCCATGACGGCGTGTGTGAAACACTCTGTTCCAATGTCTCGGAGTTTTTATTTTTTTAATTTCAAACTTTTTGGTTTTTCTCAATACAGCTTTTTGAATTTTCGGTGTTTTGGGAGTGTACATTTTCGGTGTAGACATTCCGAAATTCGTCATTTTGATTTTCGATGTTTTGAACGACATCCTAGCTCTCTGAAGTTCAACCTGACCTAAGTACATGACTGTTGCTACATTTCCACCTATAACGAATAGCAGTAGCAGGGAATCGACACCGTGACCACGTGCTACGCTTTGTAATGTCATTGCAGCTAAGCCACTTTGGTGCCTATTTCTTCTTGAACGGCTGGTAACTGCGAACACTGACGGATATGACAGCTCACCAAATGATGTGCTTTTGTATAAACGCATGCGTTCATGCTTGGGAGAGAAGAGAATATGATTGTGTGCGCGATATTTTAATAAGTGATAACTTGATAAAACGGAAATCAAGACAGCCACCACTCAGTGTATGAATTTTAGCTTGTTTATCCACGCGATTCAATTAAGTTCGTTTTTTTTTGCGTGCAGTAAGAACGCGACATAGAAAGTAACGGCAGATTCTCGCAACTTACAGAAGTAAAGCACTGCATAGCATTGGACCTTTCGGAACTATCTTACAGATAAAACAAACCAAATGTAACAAAACGTCTAGTACGGTTATGCAGTCCCAATAGACCTTTCAGGTGACACCTTTCCTAAAATGCACTAACTCTTTATATATATCGCGTGACAAAATAATGTATTGCGTAATATTGGGGCCATGTTCCACGACGTGCATAAATTTACGCGAATCGAGTTTCTTGCATAACTTGCTCCCTAAGCGCTGTGCTCGAAGCGACAGCGAGCTATGTATGAACATACAGGGTAGACATCTGGCATAGGCTATGCCTCAAAAGTCCAGAAGTCACACTTAATCTAAGTTGCGACAAGCAGTTCACCACAGATACAAATTAGGTTGCACTCTGACATTACGGAGCCGTAAGAAACCGCTTAGCCATGAGCTAAACGCGGAGGAAGAGCTCTTGACTTCGCTCGCGTACACTGTCGTGGCCACATTTTTTGCATAAATCAAGACTAGTTTGTTGGCCAATAGGTAGCTTAGAGTTTTGGAGCCTCCGACATGAACAGTGAAACTGTTTGGTGCAAGCTTCCCCTCAAGTGTGGGTCTCCCAGAAAAGCGACCATTTTATACACCCTGAAGAGACGTATATATATGCGGAGGCAACGCATGACAGTTTACGTATTATTGCGTGTGCGATGCCTACGTTGTGGCCACTGTGCGCACGTGAACAAGGGGCCCTGAGCATTTACTGATACAGCCGCTCACTGCATGCCGCGCTTTTACCGATGGGAAGTCGCTTCGAGCAACGGTAACGACCGGAATATGTTGACAGTGACAAAACAAACGTTCACTAGTAGTAATCCTGTGCCTGAGCTGTCACCTCTTCGCCTATACCATTTCTCACTACAATTACGTTCGCTATCTATTCTCGGTTTCCACTGTAATGCCTAACGTATCGTACACGTATATATCGATCTGTTGCTTTGATTGCGTACCTTAGAGCGCTGATTTAGTTAACGAGAAGGTTAAAAATGGTTCATTACACCAATCACTAATTGTTATTGAATAATATGCTAATTAGATCATAGGTCGAAAAACCTATTTTTACATTCTCCCGATCGTCCTCCACACAGCCTGAACAGTGGTGAGCTAGTTGTTTTCAATTTGCTTCACGCCAAACTGTGTTTGGGCAATACATGGTTATAACGAACCATCCTGATGCATACGAACAGTTCATAAAAAGCGCTGGTCAATATTGAAAATAATCGAGATGTTAGCAAATGCAATGGCAGCTCGAACTTCAGAAATAGATGCCCTTGCAAATTTAAATGTTATGCGAATCCCACAACTCGAATAAACGAAACTTTGCGTACAAGACGGGAATCAGCGATCAATGTAACTCTTCGTGAACGACCTGACGCAATATCGAATTTATTACCGACGAAGTCTACCGACGAGTGAGTTCTTCAGAAGGAAATCTGCGAATTCGACTCGTCTAAGCAGCAGAGGCGTAGCCAAAAATTTTTTTGGAGAGAGGAGGGGGGAGGGGGGGTAACAATACTTTATGTATGTTCGTGAGTACATTTGTATGTGTTCGTGTATATATACATATGCGAAATTTAAAAAAATGAAGGGGGAAAATTTAATTTCCTCCCTCCCCCCTTTCTTCGGCTATGCCAGTGAATTGTGTGTTATACCGACTGGTATTTCAAGCAAAGGAACTTTGAACTTGACTCTGGTGTCGACATGGAATCTTTATCCGGGAATGACGCTCCACAGTTTGTGACGGAAGCAGTCACGTACCACGAGGCCCTTGTGAACTCGGGAGAGCATCTACACGCATGTGCCACCGCGCCGCGTGTAATATGGGGCAATGTACGTTGTTCTCCCGTTGTGATGTTTGCGTGCTATTGCATCTAGATGTCTTTCTGTCCAACATTTTTTAAACCTTGTCATGCAGAGGGAGTGGTCCTCACATTGTTGCTGTGCAACGCCCTTCCCATGTTTTATGACGCGAAATACTACCGCCACGTTGAATGCCGAGTATCTATAGGAATGTCGGCAACCATGATGTACTTCGCTGTCCGTCGCGATTCCCTTAGCCCGCTTAGCATTTTTGAAGTGTAAACAAACAGCAGCAGGGTCCCATTTTTTATGTGAAAAAAAAAGTGCTGGGAATGTGAAAGTAGCTTTCGAAAACCCGTGTGATAAATTATATAGTATTTACATGGTAAGTTTGTACACCATTAACCACTAAAGTTTGCTGCACTTTGATTACAAATATTTTTCTGCTTAAAATACAATAGAAAAAACTGCCATGTCG